GGTCTGCAACTGCTGAAGGAGCTTTTGAATTCTTTCTAAAGAGGAAATTGACTTTACCTAACCAGTGCACTTCCTGTGTGTGCTGTATCCGTTAGAGAGTGAAATAGAACCTTGGTATAGTGCTCAACTGCAGTGTTTCCTCTTGGTGGTGGGCTTTTGAAATGTTCTATAGTGTTCTGACATGCTGCCTTCATTTTTTCTGCCATCTGCACTGTGCATACAAATCACATGGGGCCTTGTTCAAAACACAGGTTCTGATTCGGTACTTCTGGATAGAACCTGAGATCTTGCATTTCTAATAACATTCCAGGTGATATATCAAAATCACAAAGCCTTCTCTCTCCGTGGTTCTTTCAAAATGTTTCTTAAAACACCCATAATTGACTTCATTTTTATTCAACGTTTATTTGTCACATGCTATGTAGATTGAGGCCTGATTCTCAAGGATCCCAGAGTTGAACAATGTACCAAAACAAATACATTTTGGGTTTATTGCCTTTCTTTCTTTCTTTCTTTTTTAATATATTGTATTTGGATTTGTTTCATAGTTCTGTAGTTAACAATTAAACTTAGATTAGGATTTCTATATTTATTTTTGATATAAGAATTTCTTTTAGTTACTATACAAATATAATTATATTAATGTCAAAAGGAGAAAACAATTATTTGCATGATCTGCCCAGCACATGAAACTACTCCTTCTTTCTGTGTTTCAGTTCTTGGGCATGGGAATCTTTTGTTTTTACATGTTGTGAAATCACTTGAAAACAATATTCTCTTCTGCTTTTTTTTTTTCTTTTCTTTTCATTTTTGGTACCGGGGATTGAACTCATTGGTAACTTATCACTGAGCCATGTCGCTGGAACTTTTTTTTTTTAATATATATATTTTTTAGTTGTTGTTGGACCCAATATCCTTATTTTATTTATTTATTTCCATGTGGTGCTGAGGATCAAACCCAGTGCCTCACACGTGCTAGGCAAGCGCTCTACCACTGAGCCACAACTCCAGACCCGCCCCCCTTTTGATACCAGGGATTGAACTCAGGGCCACTTAACAACCAACTGAGCCACATACCCAGCCCTTTTTTATATTTTATTTAGATGTAGGGTCTCATTAAGTTGCTTAGGTCTGCCCTAAGTTACTGAGGCTGGCTTTGAACTTGTGATCCTCCTGCCTCAGCTTCCCAAGCTGCTGGGATTACAGGCCTGCGCCATGACTCCTGGCATCCCCAGCCCCTTTTACATATTATTTTGATACAGGGTCTTTCTAAATATCTGAGGTTGGCGTCAAACTTGTGATCCTGTCGCCTCAGCCCCCCAAGTCACACAGATTACTTGTGTCTTCTGCTTTTTATGTTTGCTATTAAGAGAGTGTACAGAAAGCTTTCTAAATTTCTCTATTAACTGTTGAAATATTATCCTTTATCCATATTCTGATATGTTGTTTCTTGGTAGATTTTTCTTGTATTTCAAACTCTTTTTTAAAAAATATTTTTTAGGGGGTTGGGATTGTGGCTCAGCAGTAGAGAGCTCGTCTAGCACGTACGAGGCCCTGGGTTCGATCCTCAGCACACATAAAAATAAATAAATAAAATAAAGATATTTTGCCCAACTACTTCTAAAAAATAAATATTAAAAAAATATATTTTGGGGGGCTGGAGGTGTGGCTCAGTGGTAGAATGCTTGCCTGGCATGTGTGAGGCACTGGATTCAATCCTCAGCACCACATAAAAGTAAATAAAATAAAGGTATTGTGTCCATCTACAACTAAAAATTAAAAAAATAAAATATATATATATTAGTTGTAGATAGACACAACACCCTCACTTATTTATCTTTATGTGGTGCTGAAGATTGAACCCAGGGTCCCACACACCCTGGGCAAGTACTCCACCACTAAGTCACAACCCCAGCCTATATTTCAGACTCTTGCTAAGAAAAAATTAGCAAAAGGGTTAGGGGGTAGTAAACACAATATTATATGAGACTGGTATAATAATATTTGCAAAGAAGAGTATATATTTCCTTATTTATTTATTATGTTTGCAGTGCTGGGGGTAGAACTCAGGCACCTGTATATACTATGCAAGCGTTCTACCATTGAGCCATATCTCAGCTTATGTGTTTGTTTTAATTTAACTGAGTTAGAATTGCTCTAAGGAGAAAAAAATGGGTTATGTGTTATCTGAATTGTATTTCTTTAAAAACAAAACAGTACCTCACTCTTACATTGCTGGTGGCACTGTAAATTGGTGTAACCACTCTGGAAAGCAGTATGGCAATTACTCAGAAAACTTGGAATGGAACCACCTTTTGACCCAACTATCCCACTCCTTGGTCTACACCCAAAGGACTTTAAATCAGCATACTGTAGTGATGCAGTCACATCAATGTTTATAGCAGCCCAATTCACAATAGCTAAATTGTGGAACCAACCCAGATGCCCTTCAATAGATGAATGGATAAAGAAACTGTGATATACTCATGCACACACACAATGGAATATTACTCAGCATTAAAAGAGTATAAAATTATGACATTTGCAGGTAAATGGATGGAGTTAGAGAATATCATGCTAAGCGAAGTAAGCCAATATCCCCAAACCAAAGGCCAAATGTTCTCTCTGATAAGGGGATGCTGATCCATATTGGGGGAGGGGGCATGTGAAGAATAGAGGAACTTTGAATTGGGCAAAGGGGAGGGATGGGAGAGGGCATGGGGGTAGTAAAGATGATAGTATGAGAAGGACATAATTACCCTAGGTACATGTATGATTGCACAAATGATGCGACTCTACATTGTGTACAAACAGAGAAATGAAAAGTTGTGCTCCATTTGTGTACAGTGAAACGAAATGCATTCTGCTTCATGTGTAACTAATTAGAACAAATAAAAAAATTAAAAATAAAAACGGTTTTGTTTGTTTCAGTACTAGGGGTTAAACCAAGGGGTGCATTACCACTGAGATATACTCCCAGCCTTTTTTTTTTTTTTTAAATACTGAGGATTGACCCCAGGGGCACTTAACCACTGAGCCTCATCGTCAGCCCTTTTATTTTTCATTTTTTTAAAATTGTGTATAGACTCAATGCCTTTATTTGTTTTTATGTGGTGCTAGGATCAAACTAGTGCCTCACACTTGCGAGGCAAGTGCTCTACTACTGAGCCACAACCCCAGCCCCTTTATTTTTCATTTTGAGACAGGGTCTTGCTAAGTTGCTTAGAGCCTCACTAAAGTATGAGGCTGGCTTTGAACTTGCAATCCTCCTACCTCCTGAATAGCCTGGATTATTGGTGTGTGCACCATGCCTGGCCAACCTGTTTGTTTTCAAAATATGCATGAGATGTAACAAATTTTCTGTCATATCTTCTCAAACTGGGGTTCTAAATCTCAGCATTGTGGACTTAGGGCAGTGTTTCTTAAAGTGTGGCCAGCAGAATCTCAGGTATGCTTGTGAAAAATGAGAACTCCATCTATACACTCCTGTAGCTCTTCCTCTAAGCTTCTGGTTTGAGATGGAACCCGGCAATTTGAATTATAAGAAGCAGCCTACATGCAAAGAAAGTTTTATAATTACTACTCTGGCAAGCCATGATTTGGGTCTGAAGAATTTGTAAACTTTTTTTTTTTTTAGAGAGAGAGAGAGAGAGAGAATTTTTTAATATTTATTTTTCAGTTCTCGGCGGTCACAACATCTTTGTTTGTATGTGGTGCTGAGGATCGAACCCGGGCCGCACGCATGCCAGGCGAGCGCGCTACTGCTTGAGCCACATCCCCAGCCCCAAGAATTTGTAAACTTAAATTGAATATTTTTTTAGGTTATAGATTATTCATTTTTTTAGGACATAGATTATTCATTTTTTCTGGGAAGAGAGTCTATAAACCTCTCATAACTCAAGAAGGATTAAGTCATTGTCCCAATTAGGCTACTTTGGACTATAATTTATAGTCCTGTGGACTATAAATCTTAGTTTTCTTTTAGCATAGCAAGTACATTTTATTCATGAGGTGATTTGTGTGTGTATGTTATGACTTCCTAACATACTGTTTTGTTGCTTCTATTAAGTTGAATTTTAATCTCCTAATAATTAATTTTTGTACTGAAGTGTGCTGTTCCCCAAAACTACATTGGGTAAATAATAATTCCTAACATTTATTTATTGAGAACCATAATGTGCTAGTTATTTTATGAAATGCAATACATAGATTATTTTAATCTTCATAGCAACTCCATGAAGTTATTGTTATTATATTCATTTGACAAATAAGAAATTTGAGGCATGGAGTACTTAATTAACTTAACCAAATTGACATAGTTTGTGAATAATGGAACCAAGAAATTGAATTCTTTCTGATGTGACTCAATTTTATGCAATTCTGCAAGTTTGCAAAAATGAATTATGTTTAGTTTAGGAATAATGGAAAGTGTGTGTGTGTGTGTGTGTGTGTGTGTGTGTGTGTGTGTATGATAGAATATTATTCAGCCTTTTAAAAGAAGAAAATGTTGTCGAGTGAAATAAGCCAGATATGTTTAAAAAAAAATACTACATGATTTCATTTATATGCGGTAACCAAAAAACCCAAATGCCTAAAATAGAATGGTTACCAGGGATGGGGTAGAAAGGGATAGTAAGATATTGGTCAAAGGGTACAAAATTTCAATTATATATGATAGTTTCTACAGATCTAATGTACAGGATGGGGATTATAGTTAATGATACTGTATTATACATTTGAAAATTGCTAAGAGATACCTTAAGTGTTCTCACCACATACAAAAAGGTAACCATGTGACAATATGGATATATTAATTAGCTTAATTGTAATATTAGTTGACTACATTATGTATATTAGAACATTACACTTTCTACCTTAAGCATATATATTTTTAACAAAAAATTTTAAAGAATAGAAGATGATAGTTATATGGTAACTTTATATAATTAAACTTTTTCTAGAAATTCAGATTTTGAATTTTTAAGTTGTTTCTTTTTCAGATCAAAGACAGTGCATCACAGACAAGGGATGTCCTCAAACAGCATTTTAATGATTTAAAAGGAACTCTTGGGAAGCTACTCGATGAACGATTGGTGACCCTTTTGCAAGAGGTAGACACCATTGAACAGGAGACCATTAAACCACTAGATGACTGCCAAAAGCTCATCGAACATGGAGTTAACACTGCAGAGGACTTAGTTCGAGAAGGTGAGAGTCCAGGAAGCGGGGCTGGGAATGTGGCTCAAGCGGTAGCGCGCTGGCCTGGCATGCGTGCGGCCCGGGTTCGATCCTCAGCACCACATACAAACAAAGATGTTGTGTCCGCCAAATACTAAAAAATAAATGTTGAAATTCTCTCTCTCTCTACCTCTCTCTCACTCTCTCTTTAAAAAAAAAAAAAAGAGTCCAGGAAGCCTATTAAATATGGTTCATTGAGATTGATGTTTGGCTGATTTCATAGGATACCGGAAGGCTTCTTGTCATCTGTGTGGTGCTTGGGATGTTTCTACCTTGACAGCTTATAATATAGGATTAAAGATATACTGTGGGCATTCCAGGGTACATGTAATTGAGGTATTTGAAACAAGAAGGAGTGAATGATTTGTCTCAAATAGTTCTATGGTAATAATATCTGTTTCATTTTTAACACAATTTTAAGGTTATTTTGAATCTGTTCAAATATTTTTCAAGGATCATAGAATTTAAATCTAAATTAAAAGGGTTAATTTAAGTTTAAATATGATTGATGTTGACTCATGAAATTGAGTTGTTATATTTCTGTCTTCAGCCAGTATTTTTAAGTCATGCCCAGATCTTTTTTTTTTTTTTTAATATTTATTTTTTAGTTTTCGGCGGACACAACATCTCCGTTCGTATGTGGTGCTGAGAATCGAACCCGGGCCGCACGCATGCCAAGTCGAGCGTGCTGCCGCTTGAGCCACATCCCCAGCCCCATGCCCAGATCTTGTCCTCTTTCCTTCATGTTGACTTCCCTGCCTTCAACATAGGTCTTTGTCAAGTGTTTCCTTTCTTTTCTTTTTTAAAAAAAACCTGGAGATTGAACCTTCAGCCCCAGTTCTTTTTTAATTTTTATTTTGAGAGAAGGTCTCACTAAGTTGCTGAAGCTTAGCCTTTAACTTGTGAGACTTCTGCCTCAGCTTCCTGACTCAGATGGATTACAGGTGTGTGCCACCCTGCCCAGCTCTTTGTCAGGTACATTAAATGTTCTTTGGGGTTCACAGCCCAGTGGGAGAGATATACATGCCTAGAGAGATGGAAGAACTCACTGGAACATGGAGGAGGAATGCTTCAGTCTCTCTGGAAAAGTAGAGGGTAGATTTTTGCAGGAGGAGTTGCACAGAGGCTGGAAGAAAGTCATCAAGTAGACAAGGAAAAACAGAGGGTAACCATGATTCCAAGTGGAAGTAATGTGTGGAGTAGAGTGAACGGCATATTCAAGGATTTATTGAAGTACTTTTTTAAATAACACTGTCTACAGTCTGGAGATTCGATGATAGGTGGTGAGACTGGAGGTAGAAAAGACTGATTAGAAAGTTACAGTTGTCCAGAGAAAAATGGAAAGATTGTCAAGTGAAGATGAGACAGGGCTGCTTTTAAAGAGGTTTTTGTTTTGGTTTGGTTTTGAGGTAGAACTGAGATTATCAATCAGCAGCTATTGATTTTTGGTGATTACCGAGATATAGATAGAGAGGAAAAGGGGAAAGCCAACCTAGTTTTGGATGATTGGGTGAGTGGTGGTGCTAAAGGGTGAGGGGAGGGTCTTAGTGAGTATTTAGGCATTTTTTTTTTTTTTTTAGTTGTACACAATACCTTTATTTTTATGTGGTGCTCAGGATCGAACCCAGGGCCTTGCACATGCTAGGCGAGCACTCTACCAGTGAGCCACAACCCCAGCCCCTAGGCATTTGGTTTGAAGTGAATTTGAGGTACTTAACATGAAAATGTGGGTATAATGCTTAGGAGAGAGATCATGCTGCAGATGTCAATGTGGTGTTGATTGCATACAGATCAAATCTGAATATGTGGGAATAAGTAAAATCATCATATCATGAGAAAAATAAGTGACAGAGGGTAGAACATTAAGGGATGCCAGCATTTAAAGGACAGTTGGGATAAAGAAGCCTCTGAAGGAAACTAAACTCTTTCACAGAGTGAGCGCTATGAGTGGCATAAGATAAAAAGTCTAGATAGCTCATAAGCTTGGAACTAAAAGTTAATCGCTTTTGTCCCACTTAGAATGTGGCACTACTGTTATCTTTACATGCTAATAATAGTTTTCTCTTTTCTTCAATGGGAAGTGTTTATTTTTCACTGACCTTAACAGTGCCTTTGAGAAAATTCTTTTCAGCAGGAACACAGGCTGTCTTTGCCCAGAGGCTTTGCATTTGGAAACAAACCCAGAAACAGGTCAGCACAGGTCAGGGTTGTGCACCCATTGCCCTGAAAACTAAGAAATGTTTTCATTTTAGAAAAAGTCCTTTGAGGCACATAACATGTTTGTTGTAGCATTTGACACTTGAATTTTTTTTTTTTTTTAATTCTGCAGAAATATTTTTCATGGGCTGGGGTTGTGGCTCAGTGGTACAGTGATTTCCTAGCACTTGAGAGACCCTGGGTTCAATCCTCAGCACCACATAAAAATAAAAAAATAAAGGTATTTTGTCCAACTACAACTAAAATATAAATATTAAAAAAAATATTTTTCACTTCAGACTCTTTCTTGACTCTTTCTCCCAAGGGATAAACACTTATTTATGGAATTTTGAGGATTTTGAGGCAGTATGCAATATCTCTGTTTTTCTTTTGGTCAAGGAGGTCAGATGGTCTCAAAGAACTCAAGTAATTCCAGGGTACTTTCAAATGGAAAAACATTCTGGCAGTGTCCTTCAGCTGTGGAACCATAATTTTCTTACCCTCTACATAGCTTTTTCTTTTTCTTTATTTTTAATATTTTTTCATTGTTGATGGACCTTTATTTTATTTATTTAAACGTGGTGCTGAGGATTGAACCCAGTGCCTCACACATGCTAGGCAAGCACTCTTCCACTGAGCTATAACCCCAGCCCCATAGCATTTCTTTTTTGTTGTTCTGTTGTGTGATTTCTGATCTGCTAAGATTCTCTAGGAGAGGTGGATAGAAGTTCCTGAGCCTGCTGCTTTGTGTAAAATTGATTGTCAAACCAATTTTGCTTTTTTAGAGCAGAATCACTAAGCTCTGCCAAAATGTTGCCATTTTCCCTTCTTGAGCTTACTAATAAAGCACTTCTTAAATAGTTTCTACTTTTACATATTAGGAATTTGACTATGGTGTCACTTAGGAGTTTTTTGCAAGAAAACTGGAAACCCAGGTAGATACTGGTTGTGTAGATTATACTAGTTGTGTGACCATTTTTCACTGTAATAGTTCTTTCTCTTGATTGTAGGTGAGATCGCCATTCTTGGTGGCATAGAAGAACAGAATGAGAAACTTTGGAGCTTTACCAAAAAGGCCTCACACATTCAGTTGGACAGGTAAAAGAGTTTTTGACTTTTTGACTTTTTTTTTTTTCTTTTTGTGGCATTGAGGATTATTTTAAAGGCCTTAAACATGCCAAGCAAGTTTTCTACAACTGGAACTACCACTTCAGACATTTTTCATTTTTAAAAATTTGAGACACGTTCTCACTAAATTTGGCCAGACTGGCTTTGAACTTGCCATCCTCCTGTCTTAACTTCTCTAGTAGCTGGGATTACAGATGTATGGTACTATGCTCAGCTGGATTTACTAATTTTGGGGGTGGGGGAGGTACCAGGGATTGAACTCAGGGGCACTCAACCACTGAGCCACATCCCCAGCCCTATTTTGTATTTTATTCAGAGACAGGTCTCATGGAGTTGCTTAGCACCTTGTTTTTGCTGAGGCTGGCTTTGAACTCACGATCCTCCTGCCTCAGTCTCCCAAGCAGCTAGGATTACAGGTGTGCACCACTGTGCCTAGCTAGACTGACTTTTAAACATTTAAACTATGTCTTCTTTTGCCCCCTGATTAAGGGGGATAGAGAATATAGTTTTCAAAGTGTCATTACTCATTATCAGTAGTATTAGCATCAAATAGTCGTGATTATAAATCTTTGGCATCATAATACTATAGATTTTTTTTTTCAATTTCAGTGGAGAAGAGAATTGTTGTGTTTGCTTTAGGCAGCATATACACTAAAGTTGGAATAATTCAGAGAAAATTAGCATGAACTCTGGGGGACAGGATTCTGAATATATCATTGAAATTGAAACATATTTTAGTAAAGCAGATCTTTTGGTATAAAATTGACAGTTGTGATCCTACCAGTTTTTGCCCCTGTTTATTTGAGAAGACAATTGTTATGTAATCTTTTTTTTTTTGGGGGGGGGGTGTTGAACTCAGGGCTTTATGAATGCAACCAGATGCTTTGCCTCTGAGCTACATCCCAGCCCTGTTATGTAATCTTTATGAAGACGAAAGGCCTTCCCCCACTGTCACAAGAATTATTTACTGAGGACTTCAGGACCCTTCTAGAATGTTGCTAATCTAAAATATTCTTTATATCTTTAACTTTATTCTAGTTTTAATTTAAGTTAAAAGCCTCATAAACACATGAGCTTTGTTTCCTCAGCTTACCAGAAGTGCCTTTACTGGTTGATGTGCCTTGTTTATCTGCTCAGTTGGATGATTCAATTCTTAACATAGTGAAAGATCACATTTTTAAGCATGGAACAGTAGCATCTCGCCCACCAGTGCAGATAGAAGAACTAATAGAGAAACCTGGAGGCATCATAGTACGATGGTGTAAGGTATGTAATTCAGGAAATAGAAGTGGCCTCAACATTATAGGTTTAAGATTGGGGACACTAAAGTTCTTTCATTAAACTACCTTTAAATATTTTCTTATCTTTCCAAACAAAAGTCCCTTTTGCTTTACAATTAAGATGAAGTCACTGTGAACATAAAAGAGGGTGATTCTACAGTTTGAAATAAATAGTTTTGAAGGTACTTTTGTGTATGTCTATGTGTGTTATTAGGGATGGAACCCAGGGCTTTATGCATGCTAGGCAAATGCTCTGCCCTTGGGCTCCATTACCAGCCCCTTGAAGATACTTTGAAAAATCTATTCCAACATTGTGTTTTGTTTGTTCTTTTTAGATATATATGACAGTATAGTATATTTTGACATATTATATATACATGGAGTATAACTTATTCTAATTAGGATTCCATTCTTGTGGATGCACATGATGGTATGTTCTTATATCAACAAGGGAAGGTTATGTCTGATTCATGCTGCTGCCAACATTGTGGGGTTTTTTGTTTTGTTTTGTATTTGTTTTTTGATAGCAGGGATTGAACTCGGGTGTTTTTTTTTGTTTGTTTGTTTGTTTTGTTTTTTTTAAGAGAGAGTGGGAGAGAAAGAGAGAGAGAGAATTTTTTTAATATTTATTTTTTTAGTTTTCGACGGACACAACATCTTTGTTTGTATGTGGTGCTGAGGATCGAACCCAGGCTGGACGCATGCCAGGCAAGCGCGCTACCGCTTGAGCCACATCCCCAGCCCAGAACCCAGGGGTCTTAACCACCAAGCCACATCTCCAGCCCTTTTGTTTACATTTTATTTAGAGGCAGGATCTTGCTGAGTTGTTTAGGGCCTCACTAAGTTGCTGAAGCTGGCTTTGAACTCTGATCCTCCTGCCTCAGCCTCCTGAGCTGCTGGGATTACAGGTGTGTGCCACCGTGCCAGCCAATATTGTTTCTTTCTTTTTTTTAAATATTTTTTAGTTGTATATGGACATGATACCTTTATTTTTATTCTCTTTTTAATAGCTCTACTTCTGAACCACAACCTCAGCCCTCTTTTTTTTTTTTAATGTGGTGCTGAGGATCAAACCCAGTGTCTCACACCTGCTAGGCAAACGTTGTACCACTGAGCCACAACCCCAGCCCCCAACATTGTTTCTTAACATACATTTCTGCGGACTTAACTCTCAGTGAATTGAGAATTTCTTCCTTTTCTATTTATTAGAAAAGCCATTGGGGCTGGGATGTGGCTCAAGCGGTAGCGCGCTCGCCTGGCATGCGTGCGGCCCGGGTTCGATCCTCAGCACCACATACAAACAAAGATGTTGTGTCCGCCAAATACTAAAAAATAAATATTAAAAAAAAAAAAAAATTCTCTCTCTCTTAACCTCTTTCTCTCCCCCCCCCTCTTTAAAAAAAAAAAAAAAAAATAGAAAAGCCAGAAGATGACAGTGAATTTGACTATCTTAATTTTTTTGTTCAGCATTAAACTAATAACCTTTGAAATAGGATTTCTCATTGGGCTCTGTGGTGCACTCCACCCAGTAGCTCGGGAGGCTGAAGGCAAGAGGATCTAGAGTTCAAAGCCAGCCTCAGCAAAAGGAAGGTGCTAAGCAACTCAGTGAAACCTTGTCTCTAAATAAAAAATACAAAATAGGGCTGGGGATGTGGCTCAGTGGTTAAGTGCCTGAGTTCAATCCCACGTACCCCCCCCCCAAAAAAAAAAAAAAAACAAGAAAAGAAAAAAAGAAATAAGATTTTTTTTGAAGAGATAATACTTCTTTTTTTTTTTAAAATA